TACTACCCAGAACTGACACAAAATGGTCACAGACAACTCAAAGATCAGCCCCGCCATTTTCTATGTTAATGTTAAGAGTTGTATTTGGCACTTATTCTCTGTGTATAACTAAGAAAGGGCCTTTAGCTCTGCAGTACAGATTACATACAAACTTTTATTATGAATACCATCTTTAAACTCAACTAAAATCAGGCAGATCTCTCTTCTAACCTGTAATTTACACAATCACGCCTCCTGCATGGCAGGAGACACAACTGTGAGATCACAAATGAAATCCCATTGTGCCTTATTGTCAGGGGAGGGGGAGCCCTATTGCAGCATGAAAGTTTTGGGGTTTTTAGGTTGTTTTTTCACATACCCCTGAGTCCTAGGGATCATGGCAGCCATGATCCTCCGGGCCCAGTAGTTTCACACACCCCTGTGGCAGGGGGACATCCCTGTGGTGATTCTCCAGCCCCAGAGGTTTTCTGCACCCGCAGGATGGGGGAATTGCCCTGTGGCAATCTTCCAGCCCTGGGGATTTCCTGCCCTCCAGAGCCCTAGGGATCATGGCAACTGTGAACCTCAGGGCCCGAGGGGTTTTAGGCAAGATGCACCCCTGCAGTTGGGAGCCCTATCAGCTGATGGGGCTCCCAGCCTCAGGGAAGACCCTGCTACATGTGCAACTTGAAGTTTGACAGCAAACATCTATAAAGTTAGTAAATATTTTCAAGGTCTAATTTTATAGCTGGTTGGGGCTTTTTATTGTGTGATAGCTACACTGGACATGTAGGTAGTTTCCAGTTAATTTCACAATACCTGTAACGTGTAGAAGGGGACAATGAAACAGATAAGGTTATATGCATTTTATGTTCATATTCAAAAGCTAATTTTACATGCATTTTTCTTTCTTTCATGCAAGTAACATCATGAGGCATCAGAGTTGTATTTCTTTTCCTTACTAGACAATGGTGACAATGTGCTACTGTAAAATCTACCCATTCTAGAAGACAAAGGGTTTTCTTTTCATTGACCATGTCATGTAGGTGCCATGAAGTTAAATCTTTCAGAGTGTCTCCATTTGAAAAAGAAATACCTACTCACATTTCCAACTGGCAGCAGAATATATTCTCATACTGGACCCACACACTTAATCCAGTCTCCTAAAGAGCTATAGCATCTTCCAGGTGCTACTTGAACTAGAAGAACATGAAATCCAAATCCAGTTTGCTAGGAAGGCCAGTTGCCCATATGGTTGTTATTAGGGGTGTGCAAAGCGGGCCATATTTAATTCAGATTTAGATTTGGCCTGATTCGGGGGACAGTGATTCGATTAAATGATTCAGATCACTGTCCCAATTCAATTCAGCCGAATCTGAATCTGAAGATTCATTGCTGATTCAGAGAATCAGTGATTGGGCCATAAAAACAGCTTTAAATGTTTTTTCTACATACCTTGAGGTACCAGGTATGGCTTGTGAATGGTGAGATGGTGGGACAGCTGGAGCATCCCACAGGACCGTGGGGTGGGGGGCCCACATGCTCAGTGGCAGATCCAGAAGTGAACCAGAAATACTTCTGGCCACAGAGGGACCTTGGATGCCCCCCCCAGACCTAGGAGGCACCAGTCACCAAGCCGGGGGGTGAGGGAGGGTTCTGCCTCTGAGCACGCTAGGGACCCCGCTGTGTTTTCCATCCGCCCCACCAACTCAGTGTTCACGAGCCACCTGGTACCTTAAGGTATATAGAAAACACATTTAAAGCTGTGTCTGTGTCCGAATAATCAAATCTCTCTAAATCAATTTGGAGGGTTCTGATTTGATTCAGAGAGATTAAAAGGTCTCCTGATTTGATTCAGATTTGGAGATTCAGCCACCGAATTGGCAACTGGAGCTTCATACAGCCCTACTAATTATCGTACCACCTTCTAAGTCAGAGTGGCCAGCCTGTGGCATGGGTGCCACAACTGGTATGGACAACCTCTGTGTGTGGTACATGGCAAATGGGGGAGGGGACAGAGAGCACAGTGGCAGATAGGGCAGGGAGCAGAAGGTAGAGCATCAGATCAGGCAAGGACAAGAAGCAGAAAGGGGAGCAGCAGCTTGCTCAGGGAGTAGAAAGCTGAGCAGCAGACTGGAAAAAAGAAAGGGATCAGAGTAACACTTGGGGAGGGCTAATTTATGGTACACCTCTCAAAAAGGTTGGCCCCCACTGATCTGAGTCATCAAGAAGCCCTGTAGCTGCTTTTTAGAAAAAAGCTGCACTTGAAAGATTGACCAAAAAAAGTGTATAGCTCTGCTGGCAATAGTAATATCCTAACGCTGTGGAACTAAAATCAAGTTACTTCCTAATAGAAGAAGGGAGATCTTTTTATCATCTGCTGATGTGAAAGAAATGTTGCTTACTGCTTTCTTTTCTGTCAATCCTTAATATATGAGATGGGTTTTCATTAAAATGTTTCACTTATTTCAGCTCACTAGTTAGAAATAAAATAATTGTATTGATTAAAAAAACCTTCATAAACCCAGGATTGTCAAAATTAGTTCATTAGACTCCATTCAACTTGTGTTTCTTGCCATACTAAGCAACCAAAGTAGTTTAATGCTTTTGAAATAAAAATTGTTAATTGTTTGGCTTTTTTTCTTTTGATACAATTTTACTTTGATAGTTTGGAAACATGATGCTAATTGAAAACCTTTCAGAAGAACTTGATCCTATTCTATAGCAGTGAAGCTGAGACAGACATTTAAACAAAGTAGAATGGAATACATCTGGTTCAGAAATGGCTGTTACTCGTTACAGCAGGGATTTCAAGCTCTACATGACCACCCATCTCCAAAATCCTCATTATCTGCCTGAAGTACCTGTCAAAGTATGTTTTCTCTATACAAGTTACTAGAAAAAGAAATCATGGGGACTAATCAGATAGTGGTGGCGGTGCTGCTTGCGTTGTCGTAAATACTTGATCAGGGAGAGACAGGGAATGAGAGAGGAGAAATGAGCCAGGAAAGGATTTTAAAAAATGTAGGCAGCAGAGGCACGGGTCTGTTCTTCAAGAAGGATAGAAAAGACATCACCCTGCAAGAAGAAAGGCAGAACACCAAGGCTGAAAGGCCCCACCATTGTTCCCCCCATGATTCAGTCAGACGCTGTATCATTTAAAAAATAAAAAAATCAGATTTTCTCAAACATGCAGTAATGTCATGAGTTAAGCAAGTTTTCCAGATTTGTTTTGAGAAAAGCAATTAAGGTTGCTTAAAACAATTTACTGTTGTATCTTTAAATATAAGACAGATTTCTGTTCAGTTTAGCTCCAGCATTTAAGTTTGGGATAAATAAGAGGTTTTCAAAAACTAATGGAAAAAATTTTTAGCCATGAAAGCAGCATTGCATATGTATCCGTTAAAAAAAACCAACCTGTGCTATGTACACATCAGGTAAATTTACATCTAATTTGTGTAAAATTACCTAGAGGATACATTCAAGTGCAGAATATTTATGTGCATTCGAAGACACACCCATTGTGCATGGCTGAAACATTAATCCATCTGCTTAGGAATGTTTCTGTGAAATATTTTAAATACTTTTAATGAAAATAAGGTTTCTTCAAATATTCAGAGTTTGTGGTGCCGGCTGCCATTAAGGTTTGGTGTTTGTGTGTTATGTTAGTAATATTATTTTTCAATGCACTGATGTACAACTTCAGGAGAACCAAAACTACCTAGTTTGATCTAATTTTTAATACAATATAAGTGGCACAAAGAGGGGAAAGGAAGTTTTTAATTGCTTGTTTTCATTTTTGTGAGTAGGTATTACTAACACAAATGTAGTTTTAAATTTGTTTCTAATACAGAGTTTAATGGAAATCTTCCATCCTTGTCATGATGTTAATGTATCTAGAGGGTTGTATGGTATATTTAAAACAGATAGCTGAAGAAATACCCATCAAATTACTTAACTCTAACACCTATTGTAAAAGCACTTAATTAAATAAAAACAAAAAACAGTACTGGCAATTGCCCTCATCCTATGTATTCTGGCAAGAAAGGTCAAAAGGTTGTTTGTTTATATATGAGCTGATTTCCTCTAATCTAAGTTTCCTACCTGATCTCTCAATTTTTTTTAACCACAGGATGTCATGCAGCAATCATATTGCTAGAATGGGAGCCAGGTCTTATGGGAATCTTACAAACAGACATCCATAAGTTTTATTTATGCTAAAAAGAGACCTAACCTTCTATGGGGTCAGAAAACAAAAAGGGTTAGATATTACACAGCTCTTCCTATAACACACAAAGGGGTTAAGAGAAATGGGGAGAAAAGCTTTCTTTTTCTAGAATAGGAGTGTTGACAATTGAGTTAATCCAGAATAGTTTTCTAGTTAATTTCTGCAGGTAAATAAACCTGAAAAGACAAAAATAAATAATCTTTACACAGCAGCTGCAAAGAACAAGCACACTTTCAACACTCCAAATTAACATTTCTTTTAGGAAGTTAAAAGAAACAACTGTGTGTAAATCAAGCTAGCTTCCCTCTAGAATCTATCTGGAATCTAAAGCTTTGCCTTTATATATGTCTGTGTTTCCTTTTCTGTCTTTGTAATAATTCTATAACTATCACAGCATGTCCTCTTGTTGTACAGCAAATAAAATGTCTTATGGCCTAAGGAAAACACAAACTCTTTCCTAAAATAAATATTTTAGTACATAAGACTAAACGTATATGAAACTGAATTAGATTTAATAAATATATAGATTGTTTTTGAAAAGAAAAAACATTAATTGATTAACCTTTTCTGGTGTCTCCTCTACAGTATACTGAAATTATTTAGCACATAAAATAACCCTGGGTTGTAATGATTGATGTATGAAATCCTAAAGAAACATTGATGAATTCATTTTTAGCCAATTTTAGTGAATCTTAACCTAAATAAATAGGCAAATAAGATTGCTGAAGTATTGTTTAGATGAATTTCATGGGTTTTTTTAATAACTAAGGGGCTTTTTATTATAATTTTACAGAAAGCAGTTAAAAGAAATAGAAGATTAGATTTTGGAAATATTATCATTGTCACAGGGAAACATCCTGGAGGACGAATGAGCTATTGACATTCTCTCCTCAAGCAAGAAGCTGTCCCAGGAGATCCATGAGAAACAAGAAATAACAACAAAGACTGAAAAACAAATTGATGAAACCAGAGATGGCTACAGACCTGTAAATAGCTTTTCACACTGTCGCAGTTACAGTTTGAATTGAATAGTTTAAATTTGCAAATTGATGGAGAAATGCACATATTTCTTTTTTAAGAAATCCTAGTGAAGAACAGATTTTATATTAGATCTAATTTAAATATCAATGCATATGCTTACACTTAGTAAAATATCCAAAATTATGTGTACAAGCATCTTAAGGAGTGCTGATCAGATAGAGCATGGCATAATTTAAATTATCGCTTTTAACATTTCAATTGGCAGTGATTGTTTCAGTTTTCACAAGTTTGGTTTTTATTATATTTTACTGGATTAGGCTGCAAACCATTCAAGCATCTTGTTCTTTGTCATCACTAACCTGATTTAGGTTAATTCTGTATATCAATACTCCTTAGCTTTGGTTTGCATCAGTTTTATCAACAGCAGAGAGCCTCTAATTTATTATATTAGAAGATCAGCAAACTTAATAATATATAACTATAGGTAGATTTAAACATACCCAATATGATTGCAAATTTGGAAACAATGAAACTATTGGCCTCTTTCCACTAGTGTAATGCAACTATGTAATAGTAATTATTAATAAAAGGCTAATATAAATAAATATAATATGAATTTGAGTTGGTCTAATAAAAGATACTGGATATACGCAAAGAACCTTGTCTGCCTAATATAAATGACATCATGATTTGTCCTCAGTGAATTCTGGCCTCAGAAAAATAATTTAAAGGGGGTTTCTTCTTATCATCAATATAAATTGCTCTTGATGTGCACTTTTCTAATAAAACTTCAGAATCATTCCAAAGAGTTCCCTTCTCACGCTGGGGACTTCTGATAAAAATATGCCCTCCTAGTTCCAGAAATGTTATAAAGCAGCAATAATTCTCTCTTCCAGGTAACCAAGTGAAAGTCTCTGTATTCCAGTATCAATTGATCTTGCCACTGAAACTAAGAACAGACATTTGGGGGGGTGGGGGGTAGAATTTAGATCAGGTTCAAAATGGTCATCCAATCTAACTTAGCTTGGCCCTGGTGTGGACCTTAGACTCAGACCCAGTCTCAGTGATTGGAAATTAAATATAAACCCGTAACAGTACAGAAATTCCAAACATATAGACTAATCTAAAAAAACTTAGAAAATGCGGGTTGGAAAGGACCTCAGGAGGTTAACTAGTCCAAATCCCTGCTCAAAACAGGACCATCACCAACTAGATCACCCCAGCCAGGCCTTTATCTAGCTGGGTCTTAAAAACCTCCAAGGATGGAGACTCCACAACTTTTCTGGGTAATCTGTTCCAGTGTTTTACTACCCTCCTCATGAAAGAGTTTTTTCCTAATATCTGACCTAAACTGCCCTTGCTGCAACTTGAGACCATTGCTCCTTGTTCTGTCATCTGCCACCACTGAGAACAGTCAAGTTCCATCCTCTTTGTAACCATCCTTCAGGTAGTTGAAAGCAGCTATTAAATCCATCAGTCTTCTCTTCTACAAACTAAATCAGCCTAGTTCGCTCAGCCTCGTCTTGTAAGTCATGTGCTCCAGCCCCCAAACCATTTTTGTTGCCCTCTGCTGGACTCTCTCCAATTTGTCCACATTCTTTCTGGAGCGGGGGCCCCAAAACTGGACACACTACTCCAGATGTGGCCTCACCAGTACCAAATAGAGGAGAAGAATCACTTCCCTCAGTCTTTTGGCAACACTCCTACAACATCAACCCAGTTAGCCTTCTTTGCAACAGGAGCACACTGGTGGCTCATATTCAACTTATTGTCTGCAGTAAACCCCCAGGTGTCTTTCTGAAGAGCTGCTGCTTAGCCAGTGGGTCCCTAGCCTGTAGTGGTGCATGGGATTGTTCCATCCTATGTGCAGGACTCTGCACTTGTCCTTATTGAACCTGATAAGATTTCGTTTGATCTAATCCTTGAATTTGTTGAGGTCTCTTTGAATCCTAGCCCTACTCTCCAGTGTATCTACAACTTCCCCCAGGTTGGTGTCATCTGCAAACTTGCTGAAGATTTGATGAAGATATTGAACAAAACCAGCCCCAGGACTGATCCCTGGGGCACTCCACTTGATACCAGCTGTCAGCTAGGTCAAATCATTGACTAGTACCCTCTCAGCCTAATGATCCAGCCAGTTTTCTTTACCTTAAAGTCCATTCATCCAGCCCATACTTTCTTAGATTGCTTGCAAAAAGGTTGTGGGAGACCATATTAAAGACTTGCTGAAGTCAAGGTATGCCACATCCACTGGTTTCCCCACATCCACAGAGCCAGTCACCTCATCATAGAAGGCAATCAGGTTGGTCAGGCATGACTTGCCCTTTGTGAATCCCTGCTGTCTGTTCCTAATCACCTTCTTCTCCTCCTCCAAGTGCTTAGAAATTAATTCCTCAAGGGCCTGCTTCATGACTTCTCTAGCAACTGAGGTGAGGGTGACTGGTCTGTAGTTCCCTGGATCCTCTTTCTTGCCTTTCTTAAATATGGGCACTATGTTTGTCCTTTTCCAATCGTCTGGGACCTCTCCCAATCACCATGCATTTTCAAAGATGACGGCCACACATTAGCCAACTCCCTCAGCACTTTTGAATACATCCCTTGGCCCCATGGACTTTCATATAGCCCCTAACCTGTTCTTATGCCACAGTTGGCTGCTCACCTCCTCCTCAAATTTTGCTGCCAGGTGCAGTAATCTGTGAGATTACTTTGCCTGTGAAGGTACTGGGATGAAAAAAGCATTGATTATTTCAGCCTTTTCTGCATTCTCTGTCACTAGGTTGCCTCTCCCATTTAGTAATGGGCCCACACTTTCCCTGATCTTCCTCTTGTTGATGAACTTGGTGGCCAAACCCAGTCTAAGATAGACCTGGATCCAGGTACTACCAAATTTACCCAACGTAGGTTTGATGGGGGCATGGACCTTCTTTACAGTTACATGCACAGCCCTGGGACTGGGAAAACCCAGCTGCTGGCCCCAGCCCCAAGGCTGCACTTTTCCTATCCCTGCCCCCCTTTAGTCCCTTATCCCTCACACACCCCATGGACAAGCCAGCTCCCCACAACCCCCATGCCACTCCAGGCGCCACTGGTCTAATCAGCATTTGCCGTTGCTGGGAGCTGAGAAAGTAAGCCCTAGTCGGGGGAGAAGCAGGAGGGATGGAGGTATAAATTCACTGGGAGGGGTCAGGGGACTAAAAATACCCCTGGTACAAGCTCCCCTGCAGACTCCACAAATCCCCGTGAACCACCAAACCCCCCTGGACCCCAGAAAACCCCTGCAGACCCCACCTTCCCCCCAGTTCCCCCAATCCTCCTCCATAGATCACTCCTGCCCCCCATCACTCCTGTGGAATACGCCTGCCCCCCCCATTCTACCACAGGCCCCTGATTCCCCCCACAGCCTGCTTGCCTCCTCTATCCTCCCAACCCCCCTGTTAACCCATTCATCTCGACTTACCTTAGATCGAGTTGCCATTTGTAATGCAAGCTAAACTCCCCTAACTTCCTTGAACATCTGTAGTTAGCCTGAATCTCTCTTAATAATGTTTTTATTATTAAATAGACTAGGATGGGACAAATTAATTCTACCCCTTTTAGGAAGAGGAGGAAGCTAACATCAACTCTCAAAGTTGTCAAAAATTCTAAAATAAACATCTCACTTCCATTTGCATTTTTTGAATGCCAGCATAATAAACAGGACTTTGGGAATCTAATTATTTACAGGCATAACAAAATCTAATAACTGGAAGTTGAAGGTAAAAAAAAATCTTTCTAAAAGTAAAATGCAAATTTTATTGGTGACAGTAATTAACTACTTATAAAGATTTCCAAGGAATACAGAATGTTCATCATCACTGGGAAGGACAGATTCTCAGTAGGGATAACTTGTCATTGCTCCATTGACTTTAATGACAAGTTGTGACAATTACACCAGCTGAGGACCTGCTGCCTAATGTCTTTAATTCAAGGCTGGATAAAACACACTCTGCCATGGGTTATTATATAGGATGCAGGGATTACTTGGTGAAATGATATGGCCTGTATTATACAGGACTCAGACTACAGAATGAACCTGACTTTCAAGCCTACCAGTCTATGCCTAGTATTGCATGATTAAATGCATATAAATTATATTATTAAAACTTTAATTAAATTAAAAACTTATTACAGCCCTCTATATTTTGTGCTGGAAATAGAAGTGTCCCATTTTAATTACTTCCTCCACCTCCTCTTTGCTACTATTGAAGTTTCAGGGCTGACACCACTAGCTATAAACTGAATGTGTTTGTGTAGTTTCACAGTCCAGATGCATTGGCCTAAAATAGATTTGCTTTTAGAACAGTAAGCTCCTGAGCCTCTGCTTTCATACTGACACTTTCTTTTGACTATCTGCTCACATGTAACAACTCTGAATGTCCCCTCATTAGGTAGCCAATTAGATGTAGGGTTTACCTTTCTCTTTATCCCACACAGAACTGGCATTGCTTCTCCAACATTTTTACCCTAACACTATTTACCACCCTAAATAGCATGGAATTATGTCCTTTTAACTAGAGATAACTTTTCTTAAAATGTTCTATATAATTGAAATTTCCAGTAGCTTTTAAAGCATAGTCTGCCTGGATATTTAATTGGTCCTACATTTTAAAAGACCTATATTCAACATTTGATATTTGATAGATTCCCAAGGGTCTTGTTGCTGGCAGCCAGAACTGTCTCTTTGGCTGGTTTATATTCAGGCTTAAATAATGTCCTTCTAATTGCTTTTTTTCCCCTTTAACTTAACTTTGAATAAGAAAAAAATCATTCCCTTCTGTAGAGTAATTTGGAAATCTATTCCATCCTAACTTCTTCCTGAACTCATATTAAAATCTTTTTACTGTTTAAACAATAAACAAAAAAAAACCATCTTGGCATTCCCCAATATTTCTAATTTGCCAGGAATCAAGTACTCCTCTAAGCAGGTGAACTAAACAGTACAGCTGTTGAGTTCTCTTCCCAAATGTACCCTGACTTGCAACCTAACCCAGTTTCTTTATAGCCATGTATTAAGTCTGTAAAAAAGTGTGGAGTATTTACATGTTTTGTAGAGGTAATCTAAGTCTTTTTAAATCATATTGTTTTGGTTGAAAGGTACTAGAGCAGGGGTGGGAAAAGTCTGGCTCACAGGCTGGATCAGGCCCATGGCAGGCTCCATTTCCCAGCAGCCCCTACCCATGCCATTCCAGGCAGTCTCAATGGAGACCCCAGGAGTTGTAGGGCTGTGACAGCACGGGGCCCTCATGGCCCCACGTTCCCAGGGTCTCCATGGAGACCAGCCAGAGCAGCACTGGAAGGGCATGCGGCTTGGTGGTGAGAGCTGATCTGGGGCTTGGGTGGGGATTTTGGAGCAGTTACAACATGAGGCCAGAACCAGAGCAGAGCTGTGATCTGCTGCCCGCATGCCCTTGTGACAAGTGCAGGTTCTTCAGGCAGGGTTGTGCAGGCAGCTCTGCCCCATCCCATGCTGTCATCTCTGCAAGATCCCAGCCCCAGACCTGGCCCCCCCCACAGCCCTGGACACAGCTCCCCTCCCAGCCACACGCCTTGCCAGCAGTTTCTTGGACCAGTCTCCAT